AGTTGGAGTTGTGTTAGCCTGCTTTTGTTTGGCTTTTTTTTCTCTGTTTTATGGAGAAGGAGAGACAAGGTGTATATGCAAGAAGCAGAGGTTGTATTTGGGAAGTAAACCCTTGAGCATTTAGGGAAACGTGATGAGTCAAATTTAGACTCCGGTACCAACTGATGTAGGAAAAAAAAGAGGTTGATAAGAAAACTTAGAGAAAATTTTATTAATTTTATCAAGAACAACCTGGAAGTTTTGGATCTCAATAATTAAAACAATATTTCAATATTGGAATAATAATCATAAATAATTTACTTAATGATCAAGTTAAAATACTTTATTCATAGGCACCCAAATACATTAAAAATCGGAGGTTTAGGAAAACCTAGTAAATAAGAAAATAAATTAAATAGAAAGAATTAAGAAAATAGGAAATTTAGGAATTAGAAAGATAAATCTTCCTATTACCTTTTTTTGTAAAACTTTCCAAAACTTGGAAAAGGAAATTAATTCTTCTTATTTCTTTTAAATAGCTTATCTAAACGTTTATGCATCACATCTAGTATCCTCTATTATTAAAATATATCCATTTAGAAGCTTTTATTTCTGCAGCACATCTGGTATTTTATGTGTAGTCCAGGAGATATTTAGCGTTGTTATAACACGAAATAACCTGGAAAAACATTTCAGCTATTTAAATGGCTAGGAATGAGGGCACTAAGCAAATGAGTTGATTCTTTCTTGGCCATAGATTCACTATGACTTCCATGTGCAGGTATGGTGTTTTAAAGATACGGGAATACTGCCTAGATACTATTGCTTGTAACTTTGAGATGTTTGCAGAGACCCACGAATTCCGAGATATGCTTTTGACCTTGCCTCCACCATCTGGAGATTCCTCACTTCGGACCACTGTTCCTAGTGCTCCAGGTGCTGTGGCAAATGCGGAACAGGCTAATCTTCTTGACGATTTACGTGAGAAATGGCTTGAAGTTGAAGCTGCTGAGCTTGACAAGAGAGACGAAAGTGCCTTACTTTTTGACAAGCGCCTAGAGATGCTTATGGTTGTGGCTGAACAAGAAAAACGTGCTGCTTCAGTCGATGACATTTAAGGTTGCCTTGAATGATCATTTATTCTTTTGCTTGTTCTTGTGGCTCAAATAATAGAAGAAAGCATTTGTGTTTCAGCACTTGTCCCCAGGTACATTTATAATACTGTTTTTTTTTTTTTTTTTTTTTGTATACGAAGCTGTGATACCAAGCTGAGCTGTGAGGCTTGAGTTCTTAGTGCCTTTTGATTATTGTTATTCAGTATTGATTAATGTCATATTCTTCTCCATTTCATGCGGTGGATTATGTTATTTAGAGACACTGCTGCTGCTGTCCTGGCTCCTCTCCCCAGCTTTTGAGTTTTTTTTTTTTTTTTCCTTTCCGCCAATTGGGAAGCCAACTATATTCATTAACCCATGGTTTTTTGTATAAGCCCTAAGATGTCCGAAGAAACTTCAGTTATTGCATTACAGCGATGTAAATCCATTACTTACTGGATAATCAAATGGCACGTTTTGACTAGTAATTCTGGGCAAGAAATTTCTTCTACCTTACTTTTAGTTGGTGTAAATAAAAGTTTATTTTATCAAAAGAATACACCAAATTGACTAATAGTCAAAAAATTGAGTAGAGGTCGTTTATTTACATTCTATTGAGTACACGGTTGATTAAGATATGTTTGTTTGTGAATCTTTTGATCAATATGAATATATTGAGAAAATTAAAATCAATCAATATCACAAGATTGTGAGTTTTTGTAGCCTATAAATTTTACAAAGATGTTACTTGGATTCGGGATTCTCTCCAAGAACACTACAGATATTATCAAATAGAAATTCAATATTATTTTTTTATGTTTAAAATAGTGAAAATAAGTACACCCACCTCTGTAAGAGACAAGAAGTCACAGGTGCAACTTAAACATTTCTTATTCCTTATTAAAATTTAATAGTTATTCAAGATTTAAGAAATAAGATTGATATGTAAGAAAAAGAGATTAAAAAAAAGTAGAAAAACTTTTAAATCTTCAATTACACAAAAACCCTCGTATATTCAATAAAACATGAACAAAATCTTACGAGTACTGCAACCTAATGATTAAAAGTTAACTAATGATACTGAAGGTACAAATAGAGCATTTAAGATCTCTCTATTTAATTGTAAGCAATGATGTTGTTGAAGTTACAAATATTTTGTGTTTTCTTTAATTTTGTTTTGAAACTCTCTTATTGTCCTACCACATTAGTAAGTCCAAACCAGAGTAAAATATTTAGATAAAATTTTCCGAAAGAAAATCAACAAGAGTTATGTAAGAAATGATGCTTACTGGCCCCATCACATTATTCCAGATGGTACAGACATTTGTTCAAAGAATAAACCTAGAACCAATTTACTTTAATTACAGAAGGAAAATTTACAGAGATATTTTCCTTTCTCCTGTGGTTTATACAAGAACGCTAAAAGATGAGACCTACTCTCATGAAGAGCAGCTATTGACTATCTAGCACAAATATTCCCCCAACTTTATCTTTTCTTATAAATCAAAAGACAAAAAATTGGAGTTGCTGTTGGATCATCCAACCCTCAACCCTCCTAGTCTTCAAGCCCTGACTCTGAAGGATTATCAATTGTCAAATTGGAGACTTGACCAGCCAAGCTGCTCTCACTATCACCATCTACAGATGATGGTGCCTCTGGAATATCACTCTCTTCCGTGATGGTTGACTCTGAGTCCTCTGTTACTTGCTGCATGCTCCAGTACATTATGCTCGCAGTCAAAATTAGGATCATCTTCTGGTTTACCTGTTGTGATGATGCATGCAACAGCAAGGATGGAAGTCAAATGAAGCCACATAACAAAACCATTAACAAGCACGTATACTAAATCATATGAACACAATCTCGTTTGTGGAAAAAGACAAATTACAATTAAGTGCAGTTCATCTTGATAATCAGGGTCGGTTCAGTAACATCGGCTGATGGTCCTTGCCATACTCTTCATTTGACAGTGAGGGGATCAAAGTAGAAGTAAGGCATTGAGGTCCAGATTGGTCGCTAAAAGGTTTTGACAGGCTGGCCTCAGTGGCCTCTATAAATTATTCTTTCGAAAGAATTAAAAAGAGAAAAATCTGGGACCTAAATTGGGAAAAGATTTCCAACTCATTATCCCTAGAACACGTATCACTGAAACATCATTTCTACTCCACTGAGTTCATGGTGGGAATAAATCTCTCTTTAAACAAATAATTTGTACTGTGACAGACATTAGAACCAGGGCATATAATTTCTCATCATGTATACAGAAGTTCATATCAACTGTACCTCTATGATGTCCTCAGGTAGCAAGAAGATGGAACACCCAAGCTTCCGAGCAACACTGATAATGTAGGTTGCATTTAACTTCTTCTCCTCCTCTGTAATATCAAGACCAATGAAATAAGACTCCTGACCATTTCTACATAGACATCATCATTATTTTGCATCCTCTAAAAACCAAATCATGTGAGTCTGCATCTCTACTCTTTTCTTGCTTAAGTTCAATACAACTTCAATATCTGTTCTTTAAGAAATACCCAAGACAATACTAATATAAATTGCGAGCTAATGTCATACCTGTTGCACCCTTGGTAACAAGACTCCAGTTGACTACCCTTGGCTCCACTGCACTAAGAAGCTCAAGGAAGAAGATCCCAGTAGAAAGATTCTTATCCTAAACATAGAAAGTGGATCAAACACCAACCATCAAATATTGGTTGCAAACTGACTCTGAAATTATGTCATTTTTCAGCTAGTTTTACCTTGAAGCTCTCAATTTTGGGAGGTTCTATCTGCCTGCTTCC